CCTAGAGCCAGAAAGGGTGGGAGGAACCCAAGCCCATGAATTAATAAACAGAGCTTCCACTGAGCCTCCGTCCACCTCCTTCCTGTCCTCCAGAATGTTCCTCAGTCCTCTCACTGGGCCTCCACCTTCTACCTTGCAGTGTCTGTGTCACTCGTGAAATGGCCATGGCTACTGAGGGGCTGGAGAGAGGGGAGAGGGGCTGCCAGGCATGGAGAAGGAATGTTCTGAGACCAGTTGGTAAATTCTAACAGGGAGGCTCCACTGAGTGGAAGAGACACACACTCCCTTCTTGTTATGCCCTGAGGCGGAGTGGGCAGGCATGGGTGCCACCCTGGATAAGAAAAGGGGCAGGCGCAGAAGAGGGACACGCTGGCTACTTCCCTTTGGCCAAGTTTCTACCTCCTGCCTCCCTTGTTGTCCCTGTAGGATAGCAGACACTGTAACACAGAGAAAGCAGAATCTAGAAACAAGCAAGCCGTCTTCAGGAAAGGTGGGCCTACGGGTTGCCGCTGACGGCTTCCGGGCCCCTCGAGAGCTAAGCTCACACTCTCGCTTTGGGCAGTCAGAACTCAGGAGAGGGGCCGTTAGGGGAACAGCAGACTCAGACAGTAGCGACGTTCAGTAAGGCACGTGTGCACTGAACTCCATAGCAGCAACAGGCCCCGACCTGTGGAGTACAGGGAAGAGACGGAAGTGACAGGGAGGAGACCGAAGTGGCAGGGAGATGGAAAATGGCTCCTAGAATGGAAGCCCAAGCCGGGATACCCACGGCTGGCCCAGGCACCGCCTCCTACTCTCATGTGGTTGGATGGCTTTGCTTCTGTTTCAGCGCTCAGGAGCTGGAGCAGCTAATGGCCATCAATATTCCACCGTTGGCCACTTGTAGACAACACAACACACGTGTCTGCACGCATGTGCACACACAAATCACAGAGCATTCCAGGAAGGAGCAACGTACCCAAGGTTCTGGCCTAGTTTGCATGTTCGTTGAGTCTGCGTCTCATGCAGCTCAGGTTGGCCTCAAACTGGCTACTAATCCTCCTGCCTCTACCTCCGGAGTGCTGAGGTTACAGTCATGCACCGCCCACTCTAGCTAGGTGCTAGAGATGGAGTCCTGGGGGGGGGGGGGGGGGCAGCATGCCAAGCAAGCATTCTACCAGTAAAGCTAGATTCCTATCCCCTGTTGTTTGCTCCTTTGGGGTGGTGAGGGTTGTTCTGAGAGGGTCTCCCTAAGTAGCACAGGCTGATCTCAAACCCACAATCCTGCTTCCGTGGCCTCCTGAGAGCTTGGAGTCCAGCCGGGCGCCACCATATTCAGCTGGGCCCAGTTTTAAACCAACCCCTCATCGCTTAAGGGACAATAGCAAAGTAACTTCCCCTGACTGGGCCCCAGCTTCCTAAGAGACACAGTGGAGAGGATGAAGCTGGTTATCATCTAGCTCAGGGGGCTCCAGAGACAGGATGGTGAAATCCACATGGACGGGATTCCAAAAATTGCACGGGTGCCCCTCGTCTCTGAGGCTGCTGCTTAGCATAATATCCCGTCCCTGCTTGCTGCCAGTTGCCTGCTCTGTGCCCTCATCTCACCTTTTTAACTTTGACTTTTATGCCAGTCAGATTTGACAGGGGTAGGTGGGCAGATAGTAAGATTTCCTTTAGTCCTGGGAATGCCAAAAAAATTCCCTGTCTACTTTGGATTCCATGGCCAAGAAAAACATCCCAAAGTTAGCAGTTAGGATAAATGACATGGAAGACATATACTTACTCTTCAGTGATGAGGCTAAGGGGCAAAAGGGACCAGAGCAACAAGCAGAAAGTATTTTTAGATAAAGGTTTAGAGTTCTTCTAGAGAAAGGTATCTGTGATTCACTTGGAGTACAGGAAGGAAGGAATTAAAGGCTGGGTGAAGATTTGAGAAGAAGCCAGCAAGTCCTCATTCCAGCCATGCTGTCCTCCCCTTTAACGCCTGTGAGAAACCCAATCTCGTCAATGCTTCTAGGTCCTCTCCCCAAGCCCTTGGAGCAGATAGAATGGGTGTCAACTTTGCCTCATCCAAACTATTTCACGTTTCAGGGATGGAGGGCTACGGGGTAAATCAGTTTGCCCAGCATGCTTGAGATGGGAAAGATTACAGCTTCCAGAAAGCATTTGTTTCCACTTTCTCTCCCCCTTCTAGATTCTAATCCAGCCCTGAAAGTATTGGAATCGTTGCCCGTACGAGTGGATGTGTGGATTTCAGCCCTCTGGTGTTGCGCAGCATTTCAGAGCAACTGCCTCCATCCGCACAAATTACCCAGACTTCCTAGACGCCCTCAGTCTGTTACCACTAGAACTCACTGCTCTGCTTCTCTAGCTGTTGCTGGGCTGGTAACTGCAGCCCTGTGAGATAAAATGAGATGCCAAATTGCTCCCTTTTGTGTATGGCCATACAAGGTATCCCCTACCCAGGAAATAGGGCATGGGTGGCCAGACATCGTGACCCGACTACTGAGACTTCCAGAACCTTGGGCACCTTCTCCTGCGCTGCCACATCATGACCTCCCACACTTACAGTGGGGAACACAGACTCTCCTCTCTGCTTCCTCTCTAAAAGCCTTTGTCATCTGGGAGCCTCTTTCCAGCCAGCCTCAGCCTCCCCTCCCCTCTCTTGCTCTCTCTTGCCTGGCCATCTCCTTATCCTGAGTTTCCCATAAACTCTGTGGCCCCCGTCTTCCCTATTAGGCCTGCCAAGACACATGGCTATTTTTACCCCATTCTTTTCTCAGACTGCGGACCTTTGCAGACCCAGAAGGAGAGCAGGCTGCCCTGCTCCAACATCGGAGGCCCCACTCCCTCACCCCCACCAGGCACAACTGTGGGGCAGCTCAGGGAAGTTGTGCAACCCTGAGCCCTAACCCAGGTAGTGGAAGCAGGTGCGTGTGTTATGCTGCGTGCATGTCTGTACAGCACATGCGTGCCGTGCCCCTGCAGAGGCAGAAGAGGGGGTCAGACCCCCTGGGACTGGAGTTAGATTGTTGATAGCCATCATGTGGGTGCCAGGAACGAGAGTCTGTTTCTCCAGGAGAGCATTCGGTGCTGTTTATAACGGAGCCAACTCTCTAGTCCCAGTCCCAAGCCACCCTTCCTCAACCTCTGCCCTCTGCCACTGGTTCCGACGTAGTCAAAACCACGTGGTGAGTGCCCCCCCCCCCACTATTCAGATGGTGACGACTGTCAAATGCCAGTGATGAAGAGAACAGGACAGAGGGGGGTCAGACCTCAGCAGAGCAGTCTCCCACCCACGCAATACCTGTCCTTTCTCTCAAAAAAAAAAAAAAAAAAATCCCCATCCCCAGCGCTGGGAGGCCTACCTCCAGGCTGAGGTAAAATGAGAAAGTCACCTCTCCAAGTTCTTTGTAACAAGCACAGGTCTTGAAGGAGAGCGCTAGCTTATTGTCCCAGGTCCTGTTCTCTTTCCCTAGATGTCACCTGCAAGGGCTACACGGGTCTCAGAAACCGCTCACAAGGCCCCATCGTCCCAATCCTCCTGCCTCTCAACAGCTGAGTGGACACAGCTCTAAGTAAACGCTTTCTCCTACCAAGTGGGTGCTATAACTGGGAGAAGCAAAGCTTTATTATTATTATTATTATTATTATTATTATTATTATTATTATTATTATTATTTAGACAGTCGTTTTACGTGTCCCAGGCTGCCTTGGCCTCTGGAATGACAGTATGCATCAGCAAGGCAAAACTTTTTACAGGCCCCTTGAAAGAGTCCCCTCAGCAGCAGGGAGAGGCAGGAGCCAGGAGCAATCCTGTTTCAGGCGGTCCTATCACGAAAGTCTCCTCAGGTCTCCCACAGACCCTTGGGAAAACCAAGCGATCTTGGGAAAAACCAAGCGAAGGTCCTCATCTCACACCTGCTTACTCTGAAGCATCCTAATCAAGCAAGGCGGAGAGCAGTTGGTGACCACAGCTCCCTGACACAGGTCCTTGAAGGTAGGGCATATGGGAAACCTCCTCTTCCCTTTTTATCAGGAGCATAAAATGACCCCAACAACCAGGCCCAAACAGGAGGGGCCAAGGCTCGCACGTTCCCTCCCAGGGAAAGAGCCCCAGCTCCTCACTCAGCTCAGATTTACTCTTAACGGGGTCAGGGATGGGGCAAACCAGCACTGAGAATCCCAGCTGCATCCAGGCAGGAGGAACCCATAAAGGTAGAAAGCTAGCAACGGGTGGAGCCTGAGGGCGGCCGCCTCCGCCCACCAGCCTCTTCACCGCTCCTCCGGAGGGCACGGCCCCCCGCAGCAATGCAGGGGTGATTCACCGCGCCCAGCCCGCCCCCTCCACTATCCCCACTCTGCACTTCTAACGCCCGCCCCACCCGCCCCCAGCAGGCGCCAAGGGCGCCCGCACACCTCGAGACTGGGTGTCCCCAAAGCGCCCGGAGGCCAGGGGCGGATCGCAGCAAGGGGACGCGCGTGGGCAGCCCGAGGCTGGCGCGGGGGGCGCGGGGTAGGGTGAAAGGGGCTGGCGGTCGTGTCCCTTGCACGGCGCCCCCGCCGCCGCGTGCCTGAGCCTTGAATCACCCGCTATATCGAGCCCTCAGCGCCGGAGGCCCCAGGCCCCGGGCCCCACCTTCAGTGTCTGCTTACAGAGGGGCGCCCGAAGACCACACCGGGGACCTCGGCCGTCCCCTCCCCGCCCCCAAGCCTCCCTCCGAGCGCGAAGACGTTCGACGGAGACGAGCTGGGAGCGCCCAGCGTTCCCAAGCCCAGCGCGCTAACTCTTCCGCCAGGAGTTAGAGACCGCGGGGTGGGGCCTAGGTGGGGTGGCGCGGGGTGCGCCTCTCCGGGTGCCCCCCGAGAGCCCCGCCACTCCCCGAAGTCCACCCACTCCAGCTGACGTCTCTCACCGGGGCCGGGCTGGCAGGAGAGACGAGCCTCGGCCGGGGACTGTGGGGGGGGGGGGTCCCCACCCAGCTCCCGGGGCCGGGGCCGCGCGTGCCCGGTCTCACCTGGTAGATCATGACTTTGAAGTTGCGGCGCCTGAGCAGCTCCGCCTCGTTGACCTCCAGCTTCTTGATCTGGCCGGCCTGGCGCTCCAGGCTGCCGCGCACCGTCTTCACGTTGACGCTGACCTTGCGCACCTTCTCCAGCAGCTTGCTCACGGTGTTGCTGGTGGTGGCGTGCGCCTTGCCCAGCTTGCTCAGCTCGCCCTGGATGCTCTGCACGGCGCCCTCCATCTCCGCCTGCCGCTCCTCCAGCTGGGCCTGGGTCAGCTGGATCTGGTCGACGGCGCCGATGATCTTATCCAGGAGGCTCAGCACCAACACGCCGTTGACCTGGTCCGACTTGATGAGTTCGTCCGAGCCGGTCCCCGACGGCTCCTCGGTGGCCCGCGCCTCCCCCGGGGTGGGCTCCGGGCCCTCGGAGGAGGCATCGGGGAATCCGGAATACGGCCTCTCGACGATATGGAGAGTGACATCCTCCATGGCTTCCCGGAGCCGTGCTGGGGGGCGAGGGTGGGGAGCCCCGGCCGGGTTGAACTGGAGCGGGAGACCCTGAGAGAAGGAGGAGCGAGAGAGGGGAAAGGGAGCCGCAGCCCGGAGCGGAGGAAACTCGAGCCACGTCCGTGCGCGCCGGGACGCTGGCCAGAACTGCGGGGCGGGGAATCCGCGAGTTGCCCAGCTCCCGAGCCAAACCCAGAGTCACGTCGGCCATTGGCTGGCCCCACCCCAGAAAGGGAGGGACCGGGGCAGAAGGGGAGACCAACCCGGGAGGGGCAGCGGAGGGGGACCCGAGAGCTGAGAGCCCCACCCTGTTCAGGATGGTTGGAATAGTTGGAGCGGGAGTCTAGGGCCCCCCTTGGCGGTGGAGGCCGCGGCAGCGGGACTGGGGCGGAGGGGAGGAATGTGAGCTGGGGAAAGGAATCAGGTCCCCGGACTGTGCCCAGCTCCGCTTTCCTTCACTTTTCCCTCACCCACAAACCCACTCCAGCCTTTTAAGATCAAGCTCAGGGCCCACACGGAGCATGAATTGGATGTAAACTCTTTTTTTTTTTTTTTTGGTCTGTGCCTAGCGTCCTTGTAGGAGCCTTGCCCTGTACACTCTTTTTGAAAGGGATTTGAGAGCCCGCGCAACCACTTGTGCACTGAGTTCCCACTGTCCCCAAAGCTTGTCGGGCTGTTAGTGAGAGGGAGGGAAGAGATGGGGTGACAGAGGAGGCACAAAGCGATGGAATAACAGCCTGCGCAGGGCCCGGGTTTCTCGCGGAGTTGTCAGGACAGGGCAAGATTAAGGTGAGAAATAAAATAAAAAAGGCTTTTCGTCACCTCTCTAAAATCACTTCTCCCTGTGTCCCCTCCAGCAGAAGTCTAGCCGACTCCGGGCCTCAAAGAGTGTGGCATCAGGATTGCTCTTCTCTCGGGTTCTCGGATATTAGGTGAGCAATCAGGGGGATCATGGAACCCCATCTCTTAGAGAGGAAGGCCAAGAGGAGGCAGCTGGCCCGCCAGGGTTCGCTCCAGGCCTCTGCCGGCACCTGCCCTTAGCTCCAGGTCCCTGGACCCCACTGGCACCCAGAACCTTCTGTTGGAGGCAGGAATCGGGGTAACTATGGCAATTCTCCCTAACGGGGAAATTTGAGAAAGGCCCTGCAGAGGTCTGTAGAGACGCACAGGCTGCCCTCCTTCCACATCTGGCCCTCAGCCGTCCCTGGAGCCACCCCGATTCCCTTTCCCACAGAGACGCTGAAAACCTTTCCCCTGCTTAGGAAACCGGGCTCGGGGTTCCCTAGCCGGACCGACTCAGCAAAAGGTCACTTCCGATGGTGTCCACTATCGTTAAGAAGAATTAAATACTGCTTTGTGGAGATCCAGGTGTCATCAACAAAGTCAGAAAACTCACCAACCTGTTCAGCTGCAAATTGCCATGTTGTTTAGGGGCCAGTGAATAAAACACATCCCGTCCCCAAGACTCCAATCGGCTTCCTCACCCGAGGTTAAAGAAGAGCGAACCTCAGCCAGGCGGTGGTAGCACACGCCTTTAATCCCAGCCCTCAGGAGGCAGAGGTAGGAGAATTTCTGTGAGTTCGAGGCCAGCCCGGTCTACAGAGTGAGTTCCGGCACAGCCAGGACTACACAGAGAGACCCTGTCTTGAAAAGCAAAACAAAACAAAAAACAAAAAAGAGAGTGAAGCCCTGCACACAATTGTATATTTGGGAGGCATTTTGGTGCACGCCTTCGATCCCAGCGCTTGGGAGGCAGAGACAGGCAGATCTCTGTAATTTTGAAGCCGGGTCTTAGTCTACCTAGCCAGTTCCAAGCCAGCCAGGAAGGACTACACAATGATACCCTGTCTAAAAAAGGAGAAAACAAACAAAACAAATGGAGAAAACAAACAAAACCCTACATACTGTATAACTATTAAAACTGGCAGATTACCAACTTTAAAGAAGAAGAAGAGGAGGAGGAGGAGGAGGAAGAAAGTGACTGAGGAGATGGCCTAGTGGTTTAAAATGCTGGCTGTTCTTGCAGAGGACCAAGTGTGGTTCCCAATACCCACAGCGGGGTGGTTCACAGCCACTTACACCTCTGGCTTCAGAGAATCAGACACCTTCTCTTCTGCCCTCCACTGGCACCTGGCCACACCTGACTTCATCACACAGGCACATGTACACATAAATAAAGAGAATTTAAGAGAATTATAACAATTTTAATTCTTTTTATTAAAAACCGATAACGTTTTGAGGGAAAAAGAAAGTAACAGTAGAAAGCCTTACTTGACCTTCAAACTATTCCTGTATTTTATAAGATGGGGGCACACTGAGGAGCTGGCTCCTGGGTTAAGAGTACTGCTGCCTTTGCAGAGGGCGGGGCTTAGCTCTCAGCCCCGAAGGCTGGATCATGGCCCTCCCTAACTCTAATTCCAGGGGGTCTGATGCCCTCTTCATACATGCATGCAAGGAGAACACTCACACACATTAAATAAACGCCTTAATCCCAGCACTCAGGGGGCAGAAGCAGGAGGATCTCTGCGAGTTCGAGGCCAGCCTGGTCTACAGAGTGAGTTCCAAGACAGCCAAAACAGAGAAACCCTGTCTCCCTAAATAAGTAAATAAATAAACAAATCTTTATTAAAATAATTAGTCGAATAGTGTTTAAGTGTGTGCGTGCGCACAGGTATGCATGTGCAGAGGTCAGAGGACAACTTTTGGAGTCAGTTCTCTTTTCGACCATGAACATTTGGGATCAAACTCAGGTCGTCAGCCTTGGTGGCAAGCACGTTTACCTGCTGTGCCACTCACCAGCAGCCCCTGATCTACATTAACAGACAAGGTACAGACGGCAAATAGTAAAACACTGGAATGAAGCCATTTCACTCGTTCTCTTTTGGAATATAGGCATGCACGGACATGCGAAGCTACTTTTGTGCCTCAAAACAGTCTTGCTAGCTTCAGCTGATCTCACACTCAATGGTGATTCTCCTGCCTCAGCCTCCAGGACACTGGTATTACAGACATGCTCCACCATGCCCAGGTGAGGATATCGTACTTCCTTTCCCATCCCAGTAATTACTTTCCCTTCCTCTCGGGAAACCATTGTTAGCCTTTTCCTGTGGAATTTTCAATAACACATCTCTGTGCACACGTTAGGTTTAATCGTATACGCCTGTAATTCCGGCTCACGAGAGGCCAAAGCAGAATAAGTGTGAGCTGGAGGCCAACCTGGCCTCCAACAGCAAGACCTTATTTTTCTTTAAAAAAAAAAAAAGAAGAAGAAGGGTGGGGGCTGGGCATGGTGACATACACCTTTAATCCCAGCACTTGGAAGGCATAGGCAGAGCACTGATTTTAAATTTGAAGCCACCCTAGTCTACACAGGAGAGTTCCAGGCCAACCAGTATTATAACCTGTTTCAAAGGAAAAAAAAGAAAGAAGAAAAGAAAGAATTTTTGTGCACAAAGGATCAAATCATATATATATATATATATATATACTGTTATATATATATATATTTTTTTTATCTTTTTCTTTTTTGAGTTGTTAACATTTCCTAAGATCTTTTTTCCTCACAGAGCTGCCCTATTTTCCAATGTATGCCTGTACTATAACTTATTCAGCCGCTCCCTACCAGAGGACATTCACAGATTACATATTAAAGAGGAGTTTCTATGGATGATTTGCTTTTGTGACTACATGCTTCCTAAAGCAATTGTCAAGTCAATATGGCCATGGCTTTCCCACCAGGAAAGTACTTGCAGTCCACTTCTTCAAAAGGAATGTCAGTATTTGCGGATGAGTCAAGTCATGTCCCAGGGGGTAGCCCCGTGAATACTGATCTGACTCATTTGATGCCTCCCTCCCTCTCAGAGAATTTTTTGCAAAGGGGCCTTACTCCTGCAAAGCTGTGTTGCAAAAAAATATCCACGTCAGCAAGCTTCTCTCAGGGTTCTTCTTTCTACCAAACGGCCACCAATTCCAACAGGGTGTGTGCTCAGGCCTGAGCAGTGCTTTATCAACCCAGCAATTCTTCCAGAAACCTTCGCTGCATTTCAGTGGAAATCTGCAGCTCCTTTCCCTTTGCTGTTTGCACACGCCGTCTCCGGCGTTCAGATTTATCTTTGGGTTTTCCGTGGCTCAGTCTACTCCCTAAAATGTGTGCTGCTCCACTGTTTCAGTTGCTGAAGAAGGGTCCACAAAATGGATGGGGAGGTAAAACAGATATTTCCTTTGGTGCAGGAAAGACCTCCCCCCCCCCACACACACACCAGAATGAAAACATGTCAGCAGCTAGATTTTCCCAGTAGTCTATCATATTCCTCCAACCATGCATCTGTTCAATAAAGGGTGAGAATTTACCGCAAGCCAGCTTCTAGGGGAGTAGAAGAGGACCACAGGACGGAGGCGTGTCTGTAGGTGTAAAGGAAAGGGACCTTGGAACCCTGGAAGCAGCAGAATGATGAAAGCAGATGGTGAAACAGACAAGCACTGCTCATCTCATCACGGTTCGGCCCTGAGCTTTACTAGTTTACGTTGAAGCAAATACAAAAAGGTGCGTAATCTGTTCCACTCAGCTTTGGGTCCCAGCTTGGGGAGATCCAGGGAGACAGTGTGTTTGGTTAACAATAAACCGTTGGGATGGGGGACATGTCCTTACGTCAGAGAGGCCAGGGCCAGCTGTCAGCAGCTGGTTCACAGCTGCCACAAACAGCAGGCACCCCCCCCCACACACACACACACACAGGCTTTAGCGGTGCTATTCCTGTTTCTCTGATGTTTTAAAAAGGGCCTTAGAATGTTTGCCTGTTTCTTCTCCTCCTCGAAAATCCCTTCTCTTTTTCAAAAAAGTCAATATGTTGGCAGCCAGGTGTAGTGACGTATGTCAGCCGGAGATTTGGAAGGCAGAGGCAAAAGAATCAGAAGTTCAAAGTCATCCTGAGTCACGGGAGTTTGGGGCCATCCTGGCTACATGAGACCCTGTCTCAGACAAGCCAATGAAAATAAATAAACAGCAAACTGTGCAGGTATGGGGCTGGGATGTATTCTACTGGAGTCGCATACCATACGTTTGTAAGGCCCTGTTTTGGTTCCCAGCCTCAGAACTACAATCAATGAATTAATCAATAACTTTTTTTTTTTTTTCAATACAGGTCTCACTATGTAGCCCTGGC